TGTTGTATTAATCTGTTAATTGCGTTAAATTAATTAATAATTTTTTTATATTTATTGGCTACTCTTCTTTGATTATCTTCAGCTTTCCTCTTATTACTTACGTGCTTGCGATTTTTTTTGGCAGTACTATAAAATTTAATGCGTACATAAGTTCTTTGGAGAATAAATGCAAGCGAGTGACAGAGTTAGAAACAGTTAGAAAAGGAAGAACTTTGAAAAAGAGAGACAGCTACTGTTTGTCGATGAGATCATCATGCTCTCCCCTTTCTTCATCGCCCCTCGCCACCAAGCTGTTTCTAGCTCCCCCCTTACTTCATCGTCCCTCGCCCACAACTGGTTTTCCTGAGGTAACCTTCTCTCTATGGATCTTGCTTATGCTATGCATATGCAGTTATTTTTAGAGATTCATCATTTATCCTTTTCTATCCACATCTATCCATATCTTCTATTCTTTTTTACTTGGGATCTTGCACCAACGCGACATCTTGTGTGACATGCCTTAACTATGACATCTTGATCACAGATTTTTTGATAGAATACAATGGTCGTGAAACCACCTTATATTCTTACACCGTGCGATAGACCTACGACTGGATACAAATATAATATAACCTCTATTTTAACCTCTTTATTTTTCTTTATTTTTATCATGGAACATACAAATTTAGACGAAATAATTATTGATTTTGTGCGTGAAAATCATTGTTTATATGATAAATGTAATGTGGATTTTAAAATATAAGGAAAAGAAGGATGTGTGGAAAAAAATTTCCAAAACTTTGTAAAATGTATATGGGGTAAATATGTCAGGTAAATTTTTTGTTTTTTAAATTATTATTTGTAAAATATTAAAATTATTATATATATATAACATAAAAACCCTGATAACGTATATTTTAAAGACATCTAAAAAACGTTTTCTCAGCAAACACAAAATAATACAATGTATATACATTAATGTTATCTTACTGTTATTTTGTGTTTGCTGGGTTTTTTAAAGATATATATGATATCTTTAACAAGACATACATGTTGTTTGGAAAAACAATTCAACAAAAGGTTCTCTACAACTTTTTTTTTTTAATTTAAATTTTAAGAGATTATGTAAGTGATCAAATTGTTGCACCAACATCCTTGTAAGTTTAAAAAACTCCTCATGATCATTTGTCCGAAAATATGTAAATAATGTTCGATGAGCACCATGAGTTTGTCTCATATTTCTTAAAATATGTGATTTTTACCCACCACCTTCTTGTTATTTTGCGTCTTTTTCTTAAACATAATCCAATTTTTGTTATATGTAACAAAATTAATAATAGATTTAAATAATTACTCATCACTCTACTTTCTATTTTTATATTTGTTGTTGTACCGACTTACGACTATATTGTAGAACAGCGCTCGGAATTAGTTGCACATTTCGGGCCAATTCAAGAGGACGCCTCCTGTCCCCCCACTACCGCCCGGCCGCTGGCGGTCGAGCCGCCGATAGCTCTGACGCAGGAGCGTTTTCTATAAGAAATAGGCTCGGTTGTTGAGGCACCTCTCAAAAAATAGTAATATTTTCTTTGCTACATAAATAATGTTTATTTTCATTAATAATTAAATATATATATTATGTATTAATAAAAATAAACATTATTTATGTAGTGAAGAAAATGTTACGATTTCCTGAGAGATGCCTAAACAATCCAGCCTATTTCTAATATAAAACGCTCCTGAACCAGAGCTATCGGCGGCTCGGCCGCCAGCGGCCGGGCGGTAGTGGAGGGACAGAAGGCGTCGTCTCCAGAATCGGCCCGAAATGTGCAACTAATTCCGAGCGCTGTTGTAGAATGACAAGTCGTATTCAGATCCGACATTCAACGTACGACAAACGACAAACGACATCCGACGCCGACATACGACGTATTGTAGAACAGGCCTTAGGGTGCAGTCCCATTGAGCACGAATCGGAATGACGGATCGGATTTCTCACCAGAATTCTAGTGAATTTTTGATCCTGCTATTTTTTCCGATCGAAACGCGTATTTCTGTCTGTTTAGAACATCCGGAACTGTCCGGAATTTGTGTCCGATGTTAATGTTAATAACAAGCCAAAATAAGTGCCAAATATGACTAAAAAAACTGTTTTTTTATCTATCTTTATGAATTTAGGATATTTTTAGTCGTATTGGGGTTAAAACTGTCTAATATAAAACTGTCTGTTACAAAATATAGTTTACGTTTCTTCACACATGTGTCCGTTCTGTTCCGTAAAAAATTTCTCTACCAGTCCCATGTATCAAAAACGGAACGGAAATATGGTTACAAAATATATTTCACTCTAATAATTAAGTATTTTTAAGTACTCATAGCAATGTAATTTGCAAGAAAATTCCAGAAATTATATATATAATTGCTTCAACCACATTTAAATAACAAAATATTAACGTAATTAAGTACATTTACTTGCGATCGAGGCGACATTCCGTTTCGTTTTTGCTACATGAAACTGGTAGAGAAATTTTTTACGGAACGGAACGTGAACGGAACACTCAATTCTAGTGAGAAATCCGATCCGTCATTCCGATCCGTGCTCAATGGGACTGCACCCTTACATGGCAATGTAGTGTGATCTTGAATATTATTGTTGAGGTCATGTAAAAATCACTTTTTATTCAAAATTTCAAAATTTTTTAATGGAAACCCCTATTTTTTATTGCATATTCTTGTAGCTAACTTCGAGAGCTTTTCAAAACGCTATAATAAAGTTATTTTTTATTAAGAACTTTTTGAATTATGAGGCTGGAAAGTTACAGAGCATTGCAGGAGAGACAAGGATCGCGAGAGTGTCTGTTCTTATCATCTGGAGTTTCTTAATTTCCTCGCATGAGGTCACCAAAATCAGTTCGGACTCGGGCCGTCACTCTTGTCGATTCTTAAATGTGAGAAATATCATTGTGTGATTATTTATCTTGTTAAATGATGTTAAACAATATTACATAATAATCGTTTATTTTTATAAAATTTCCGTATTGATAGATTGATATCAATTGTCAATTTTGTAACAAGTAAGTTAGATCTAATGGTGTAAATATGCTAACAGTTTAATGCTGTATTTTCTCTAAATAAACATACAATTGTTACATACAACTATATTTTAATAAATTATGTATACAGTTTGCTAATTGTAAAAAATTGTACAAATAAATTTAGTAGTCTTTGAAGATTTATATTATTATGTGTTATTGATTAGGTTAGCTAATCTTTGCTAAACATCTGTTGTTCTCATTCATGAAAACTATATATTTATCTTATTTTTGTTTCTTAAAAGTAAAAAATTAAAAGTTTTATACTATTGATAATATATTCATATTAATTTTTTTACAGCAAAAATGTATACTGGTCTAATTCGATCAACACATCAAGCAATTAATAATGTTCTTCCAAAAATATTGACTGTTGGAACTATCCAGAGTGAATTGACTCGCAGAATCCATTACATATGTGACAGACAGAAATTAAATTATTTATCAAGCAGTCTATTAACTCACAACACATCTTTTCTTCTGCAACCTGTACTGCCCATGTATAATTTAGTCTGTGGTTTGAAATCCAAAGGTCACTTGCAGCTTCGTTGCAAGGATTGTTATTTTTTATGTAAAAATGAAAGATGGTACGTAATGTGTAAAACGCATCCTAGACATAAGCAAGTGAAGATTAAGAAGAAAGAGTACAAAACATGGATTGTAACATGGGCTTCACAAAGTAAAGTTCGAGGCTGGTAATCATAATGTGTAGATTAATTGTAAATCTTAAAATAAAAAATATTGTATGATAAATGATATTACAATATTTTCATACATAGTTTTAAACTTATAAATTATTTTTATGAGCGAAAGGAAGAAGAGTGAAATTAAAAGGAAAACTTAGAAAAAGTAATAATTGATTATATTTTATATTACATATATATTAACAGAAATATATATTGTATATATAGCATTATAATTATAGATATTTATAAAACATATTTTGGCAATGGAAATGTAAAGGGCACCATTGTAGAATCGTTGGCATTTACTTCATTCCATCCGTTATCTAACTTGAGAGATTTGTCTTTCCATAAGTTTTCATGTACAGAAGACAAGGCACCTAGCCACGCCTGGATATAATATGATAAAACCTAAATAATCAAATTGCAATGGATAGAAAATCGTATCATACCTGTTGACAATGATTCGCCCATGCGTAGATCATTCTATTGTCCATTTTCATAGATAATTTCTTTGTCTGTTGTAGCATCTTCATCGCAGCTTTCTTTCGTGATTGGATCATATAATAATAAGCTTTCATCAACATATACCTGCAAGCATTTTGGTTTTTAATAATTCTTTCAATAAAAGGAAATACGAGATCTGACAATAAAGTTCGCGAACTTGTTACAATAAAATCAAAAAATTATTTCCAAAACTTTGAAGGATAGACTAGGCGCTAGCATCGATGTACAGCTTCCTAAGGGGATTACTTCGAAGAGGATCACAGTGATATTCAGCAATAAAATACGTAGCAACTTTAACGTAACAAGTTCGCGCACTTTATTGTCAGACTTCGTAAATCCAAATTATATTTTGTAAAAATTATATTTAAAATTATTTTATAAGCCAATACAAGACGGTAAGACCTATTAATAAGTTTCTTTTTGTACCTGGGAATTGTGATTTTTACAATCTTGATCATTTTCTCAACATGCTTGAATTTATTTTTAATTTCCGCCATTGTAATTAGCGCGTTAACGTTTTTTCCAGTGACTTCCCGCACTGCAAGATAGTGACATTATTTTAATAATGACAAAATGTATCATATTATTAATCGAATGTTTGTTTATTTTATTACCGTATAAAATTAGCAGGCCCTCGAGTTTCTTCAATGCGGTAATTGTCGCCGCTACTTTGTGTTCGTCTATCATGCTCTCAGCTGTCACATTCCTGCTGGTCCAAACTTTCGTAGCTTCCCACTGTTGCGTTCTGATGGACCTTTAATAATGCATATTGATATGTATCTCAAAAGCTTTGATTTAATCATAATAGACGTAATGAATAATGGACAAAATAATAAAAATAATGCCTTTATTTGTATTCTTCAGAATCGATCAATCTTGATATCACGAAGTAAAGTTTCTTGTACTTACCACAACCACATGGAGGTGAAATACCGCCTCTCTGCTTCAGGATCTTGCAGGCTAATTATATTCTCTCCTTCTTGAAGATAATATCGCTCACAATTTCGAAATGAGAGGATCGTAAGACCGGTATCGAGCTGCACATCGGCGCAAATTGCATAATACCAATTGCGACCCCATTTGTCCACGTTGTTTTGCGACGCAAATTCTATATTAAATTTTGAAACACATATTTTTATGCAATTAACTTTTATTTGTGATTAATTTGTTTTTATATAACTTATATCACATTCAAACTTTATTTATTTTACTTCATGGTTTTAATAATTGCGACATCTCGGAGCTCACCCAATTCTCTCAGCAAAGCCACGACTTCGGAATGACGACACAAGATCATAAGCAAGTGAACTAATCTTGGTAGTATGAGCAATTTGAGGAATACAGAGTCCATGGTTTGCGCCATTCTAGTCGCAATGAAGCCAATTTTGATGGCTTTGCTGATTTCTCCTCTCAACCACCGTGAAAAAAATATCCCCGCATAGACTTCAGCAATGGCATTGAGTTCTTGAAATTCCAGAAAGTTTCCTTTTTTCGCACAAATGCTGAGAGCGTGTTTTTCTAAATAGAGTATAATTGACCTGCACAAAAATAAACAATGTAACTATACGACGATACAACATCATGAATTTTGTAATTATTAATTCGTTAAATCTATCAAATTAAAATGGATTTATAGTTCTTTTGCATACGTACTTGTCTTGATAAACGTGCGCAGTGAGCATCATATTTGTAAACGAAGTGCAGATCGTAAGGAAATCTCTTGATGAATCTAGTGCAGCGTTTAGGCCCCATATTGCTGCTAGCCGTGCCTGTTTCTTCATTCCTTTTGTACCCTGCAAAATTATTGTAAAATTTCATGATTAAAAATAAAGTTTTATGATTGAAATAAATTTTAATATTGCGAGCAACGGTATCAAACGAATATTTAATAAGTCGAGAAAAAAATGGTATAATTGATCAGATGTAAATATATATAATCAGTTATGAAAAGATTTAATAATATATATGTAATTTTATATGATTATATGAATTATTACATATTATCAGATCTTTTCGTAACTAATTATATATATTTACATCTGATCATATTATTCCATTTTTTCTCGGATTATCACAAGGAATAATGTAACTATTCAGACTCAGACAAGTAGATCGAAAAAAATCTTTGCAAAGCAAGAATATTTACTCTAAAAACATTAAACATTTGTGCCAAACAATTGGACAGTTGTTCGATATAATTCATTGTGTATTCGTCGGTGGTTTCAATTTTCCAATGTTTAGGACAAGCCAGTTTGCATCTCAGCAACTCAAGTTGAATCGTCGAATTCACGTTGATCATGAATTTGTGTTGTGGAAAATCGTAACCTAGATTGCTCATCACTTCCTTTAATTTTTTTTTTGCTTCGGTAAATAGACCGCTCTCTAGATGACATCTAGCTTGAAGCGTTTGGACTTTCGCAGTGAGATAAAATAAGACTATTGATTCTTCTGCATTGGCTTCAAACATCTATCGTTTAAGAATTGGCATTAATAAACTTTTTAATTTTTTAATTTTGTTGTTTCATTTCTCTGATGTCTTTCCGTCTTACTTGCTGAAGCAGATCTTCAGCATCACTTAGCAGTCTGCGAGCTTGAGGTATGTTGCTACCTGCTAAACAAACTTCCACAAATTCCAAAATTGCCGTCAATATTATATCTTGCTTTCCTTGAAAAAGAAAACAAAACAATTAGAATCTTGTAATAAATTAAGAAAAGTAATTTAAAAAGTTTTCTAAAATAAAGTACTATTTATTCATTTAGTATTTTTCAGTATTATTTAATATTTTTTTATAAAGTATTATATATTTAGCAAATTTGAATTAACTCACCGATTCCTCGACAATGTTCCAATATCTGTGTGTAAACGGTCGTTAATATAAGATGGCATTGACAATTAGCAAAATCAACGTTAGAGAATGTCTTGATTAGCTTTTTAACTTTTCGAAAAATATCTAGACAGGTTGGTGTACTATCTTGAGTTATCCATGGTATATCTTGCAACAATATTTTTATGTTATAAGAAAATAGCAATAATTTTATTAAAGAAATTGATAAATATACATACAGTGACGTGCAAAAGTTTCCGGCCAGCGACATTTTGCATTTAAATTTATAAAAAAATAGCCTAATTAAATTTTAACCATTATCAGATATAAGCACAAGATGTAGAAAATAAGATAATATAGTGAAAAAATATTGTTTATGTTTGTGAAAATGTTTATTGTCATAATTGTCATATGTACATGTGTAAAAGTTTCCGGCCACTTTATACTAGGAGAGAAACTATTAATCTAAATATATTCTATTATGCACTTTAGTTAGTTAAACTATATTTTAGCATCAATATTTTGTGGCCATACCCTTTGCAGTGATAACAGCAGCACAACGATGTGGCATCGACTCAATTAGTCGATTAATGCAAGCAGGTGAAATTTTACTCCATTCTTCTTTCAATGATTTGAATAATGCGGCCTTATTTGAATGTGCATGTTTTCGAACTTGACGATTTACTTCTTCCCACAAGTGTTCAATTGGATTCAAGTCCGGTGATTGAGATGGCCAGCTTAAAACTGTCACATTTTTAGCAGAAAACCACTCCTTTAACAACTTTGATAGTAGTATATGGCAGGTATGGGGCGTCACAACAAACCCCCATCACCTACCCCATATTTGACCCACTGACCTACATTTGGTCTGGCGTCAAAACAAATGATGTCACAGGGAGGGGAGGGGGAAAAGATGGCGGCAGTGGGTCCAACATGGTGGACGTCTACAAGATGGCGGCTGTTGACAAGTGATTTTTATTTTTCGGAATTGAGTAAAAATCCAAGCTGGGTTCGAACCTGGATCGCTGGATTTCTAGTCCTGGTCCTAGTCTGCTGGGCTACCTATA